CTACTCAACTTCTTGTATACTTTCTCTGTAGAAAATTATTTCTTATTTTATTTCACCTTCTTAGATTAGGAGATAAAATAGAATAATTCAAGCTGTATTTGTATGCGCTCATGCCGGTGTGCAGCATATATAAATAACTGATGAATACATAAGCATTTGTATTGTGAACAGCTGTATACATTTTAGGTACGTTGAACCTTTCATTGTAAAGCCTTAACAAAGGAAAAAACACGTGAATTCAGTGAAAAGCCATTGCATTGTGCTGCGGATACGTGCAATGATAGTAGCCAGTGGTGGAGCCCCGGGCATGAGACCCAGCCGATAAAGAGAGTTAACATTCATTTCTCAGAGAGCCGTTTCGCTGTTTACACAATGCCTTTCCATTTTGCTTTGTATCAAAATGAAAAGAGGGATTTTAGCGTGAATCTATGACGGTCCTAAACAAAACTAGACCATTTCAGAATTATGAATCAGTTAAGAGAAGGCTGCAAGACTGGCTTTCTTTAATGATTAACGTGTATGCCTTAGATAAAGTAACTGAAAACGATTGATTAAGGCACAGTTACCCTTTAACAGCCAAGTGCAGTTGTTAGGGAGATTAGCTTTTCTTTGGATCAATGAAGTTGTTGCTGCATTCTCCAACTATATTTGCTAAAAAGGAAAGGCTCAGGTTTTAGAGCTAGATGATTTATTTAAACTCACAAAATTACATATTTTAGCCAATGTTCCACAAGATTTGGGCTACTTGTATCAGTAGTATATGGTCCAGAAACTCTTCTCATCAGTCAGGCACAACAAAAAGATGATCTTTGGACCAAAGAAAGAATATTCTAAGGCTAAAAGGGAATGAATGAATAAAATAAGGAGTACAAGGAAATAATAAAAAGAACAGCCTCCAAAAAATATGGGCCACAGCCTTATCATAAAAGTGTAAGAGCTATTGTCAGGGTTTTTGCATACATCATGGGAAAGGAGTGCTTTAAGGAAGGACCTGGAAGAAAACAATGAAGCAATTTTGTAAACGTGCTTGGTTTATTGTTTCTAAGTACAAGAAGCAGCATGAGAGCAAGCACAAAAACGCTCGATGAAAATCTAATAAAAAGACCACAAAAACTGTCATCACCGTTCTGATAGCTGCTGAAGAACAGGGAAAGTGAGAAAATATCAGCTGTGCAAAGACCTGCAAGTGTCACTGGCAAGGGGGACACAGAGGAGACAGGTGAGGGGAGGTGCCTCGATGGCAGCCCAACTTAGCTCCAGATGTGGTACGATTGCATTGCAAACTGGGAACCAGTACGAGTGGTTCAAGAACATCATCACAGTTTGAATACTGTAGAAACTGAAACACAAGATAAAGCACGATTTGTTAAAATTGTATGCATTCAAAATAAGGTGTGTGTGTAATTGCTACTGGTTCATGAATTTATAATTGCAAATTTTACCTGCAGCTTGGTATGTGCTGTTTAAGTAGGGTCTCCACCCTCAAGAATTTACATCCTGAATTACAGAGGCTTAAATAATCTATTTTGTGATCTGAGGAGATATATGTCCAGAATCCTTATGCCTGGAATACTTGAGCTAATTATAATTGCAAGAAGTCTAATTGTAGCAGCACAGAACTCTGCATGGGACATGCACTTTGGCAAGAAAGGCTACTTCAAGCAGTTGACTATGCATATGGTGCTTTTAAATATTGTTTTTCTACACACTAGGCTTAGAACTAATATTTGATATTTGAAAGTCTTTCCTTCAGTTGTTTCAGTTAACTTCTTAGAAACGAGGAGGAGATAGAAACAGAGGTGTTTGGAGTAACTCGACCAGCTCTAGAAGCTTGCATCACCTGACACTGAAAAAGCCTTGTCCTGCGTTCCTTCTACATGACACTTCCCTTGGATTCTGCAGAGTATTCAGTTACTGGGAGAGTGGTCTCCCAGGCAAAGGAGGAGGACATGTTACTATCCAAATTTGTGGTGGTTTCTTATGCTGTTCCCTGCCTTCCCTTAAAACAGTGTTTAATCCTATTGGAATTATGTTCAATCAGCTCCGTGACAGCTGTTCCAAAACTCAGAAAGTGCATTGTAGTTTTATACCTCGGTCATCTTATCAATGAATGGTCAAAAGGGCGATTCCCCTATACTCTGGATTTGTTAACTCTGAAATTGTCACACCCAAACATGGTCCAGTGGATAAACTTCTCGAGAGGGGCAGGATACAACATGCCTCAGGATTCACAGCCCCTGCCCGTTGTGTTTCACAATCCATTTATTTATTCAGGGATGGTTGTTCTGTCAACAGAAACAAACAGTTACAGCCAACTTTGTGTAAGAAATAACAGCTTCAGACACGATATCCCCTTTCCAGTCCTGTTCCATTACAGGGAACATTTTATTTTTCAGCTAAGCAGTCAAAGGATCTAAAGCTCTCCGTAGCAGGATGAAGCAGCGAAATGCCTTGATAACTTCCTTGCTATTGATTGCACCGTGTAATGTGGGATGGGATCAGATATCAAACAATTTCCAGGCTTCCAGCAGGGACAAAACAGTGCCCTGGCGTGAGTATATGCACAAGGGCAGGCAGGCACAGATGCTGCGTTCAGTGGCACGGGGGGGTCCTGCTCCCTGCCTCTGACAACTGACCTTCATTCAGCAGGAGCCCGCCTGGTCGTGGGCCAGGGCAACGTGCCACACTGGCTGCCAAGCGCGCACAGCTGTGCTCTGCTCTGTATTCCTGCACAGCTCAGACAGGAGTTGCACTTCCTCTGCACCTCCCTATCCATGTAATAAAACTTTCCAAGGACCTTTACACAAAACATGCTGGATATTCAGGGAGGTGCTTTGCTCCAGGTGCAGGAAGGAAATTTGAAACAGTGGAGTAACTATCCACTAACTCCTCATCCTAAAGAAGCCCCCAGGTGCGCTCTTTACTCACACAGTACAGGAAAAGACCAGCTAGCTCCAGGAACAGACGAACTAATTAAGTCTGGGCTCTGTGGATTTATGTGCTCTTGTTGGCTCTCCCGCGGCTAAAATGGAACATTTATCCCACAGAGATTAGTCTCTTGTACCTTATCAGCCTTGCCTTCACCGAGGGCACCAGTGTGGTCACTTTTCTCTATCTCACTGATTTTTTAAATTAAACTTGCAGTCATGTAGTCCTTTGAGAATCCTTCTCTCTGTCCAAGCTGATTGATATTTAAGGCTTAAAAGATATTCAAAAAGGTAGGGGACTCCATGGGCAGATAAAATGGCCACGGTTTCTCTTCTTTAGGAAAGCTCATAGAAAAAAACAAATTTTAAATTCTTGATATTCTGTGGAGTGAATGGAATAGAGTCCATCTCCTTCAGGGTGTAATGTATAAGATTTTCTTCATATCAATGCAAGCATTGTTTCATCTATTTTGATAACCTGAAGAAGCAACTGTTTGCCTGAAAGCTTATTCTCTATTCTTGCTCTATCAGCTGGTCTATGTGTTGTTTCTCCATTCAGAACTTGCTTCTTGTCTAATTAGAGACCCCGGTGCACTCATTAAGCCTCTCAAGGAGTATTTCTCCCTGAGGAAGTCCTGAGGCCAGTGAACTAGACTCAGATTTATAATAGACACATGATTACATTAAACTAGTGGGAGAATTAAATGTACCACACACATGCAAATGTTCCTAAATTTCTTGTTCTGAAACAACACATTTTTTACACTGAACTGATGGATTTGGAAAAAGAACATTACCATTGTTGCGGACTTTTTCAAAACCTTTTTTGGGCAAGAAGATGATATTTTATATTGACCATAAATCTTCAGACCAAGCAATGACAAGTCTAAATAGTTGCTCCCCTTTTAGAAACGTAGGCTCAACATGACTCAGGATTTAGCCCACAGTAATTACTGTCAGTATTAATAACAGCTTCTGTTGGGAAAGCTTCCTTTGTTCACTGTTACAGCAAATTCACCTGATGACTTCTTGGCTTTGAATAATGTATGCATGAGACAATAGGGTATGTCTGGTGCTTTTCTTGCTGCTTCACCCTTCTGTAACTTGAAATTCCTGCTTGTTTGTCAGTAAGGACTAAATGTAAACTTCTCACGTGAATTGCTCGACATGGTCATTTTGTCGCAGGACAGAGGCACACAAGCTGACCTTTGCCACAACTTTTTTGGAGAGCCTAACTGGGAATTTCATTCTGCCAAGGCACAGGGGGACTGAATGACTTGCTCATGGTCAAGGATGACGACAGATGTAGGGGAAAAGAGATCCAACCATCTAAGCAAACATCCTAACCAGTGGAGCATGCTACCTCTGCAGACATTGCTCATGAAGGCGAAAATAAAAGAGCTGGATTTTCTGGGACTGTATAACCAATAATTAGATGGTCTTTTTCTCTTGCTTTTTGAAGAACAAGGTCTATTAACTTCTCTGCCTTAGCATTTAAACTTCTCATGGTTGATACCATTCAATTAATCTTCTAGTTAACAATCCATTGTTGCTTTAATGGCATTCAGAATACTAATTCACTCTGCCATGAACCAGTAAATCTCAACGGAAATTTCATTAAAAATTTTTCTCTCCAAACTGGAATAGTAGAAATTGTAGTTTTGTGCCACTTGTGTCAGATTTAAACAAAACTAAATTTATCAGTAACAAAATTTAAAGTGGCTTCAGTACAGGCAGGGCAGGATGCACCAAGATCTGTAAAAACTGACCAAGCAGCCTGTCCCTCCATTCCTCCCCCCCACCAGGATCCCTGCGAGCAGTGGGACATAAATAACCGGCGCTTTGCAGCGCTGATGCTGTGCTGTCTTCCATAGCTCCGCTGCCGGCTACGGGCAGCAAAGCAGCAGTGCAGGAACAAATCCAAACATGGAAACCGGTAGCGGTGACATCAGACCTACACCTTACACACGGCAGGGATCTCACTCGTCTGTGGCCTGATGAGGAGCAGATCCTGTTCGTTAAAATCAATTCACAGTAATTGGTTCTGGAATGCAATAATATCCAAACAAATACTTCAGTTTCTTAGGTTCTTTTATACATAACTAAGAGTTTAAACTCTAACCCAACTGTATTTTTACATGAGAAACACATCCACAGGGCACTTATTACAAAATGACATTTTATGTCATGTTTTTCTTGCTGAATAAACCACTTGGCTATTTTACTTTTTGACAAAATATTTGATGTAGATATTTTAAGAGCTGCTCATCTATTTTGTTTCCAATTGCAAAAATTCAGATGGTCAACTCTGCCTCTTTTATCATTCAATACACACTTCTAAGCTGAATAACCCCGAGTATACTATCACTAATAAAATAATACACAGTCATATCTCAGAAATATCTGCAGGTAAAACAGTATAATTTAAAATTGTCAAAGTGCTTTATAAATACATAGTTACTTATAACAGTTCTCCAGAAACAAATACTTCAGTCTGTCCCACAAAATACTTTGAGTAATGTTCGTCAAAATCTGACGACAGAAATTCTTACAGTTTTTCATTTTCCTTAAAACTTGTAGAAAACTCCTTTGATTTGATGTAGTTTTTTGCAAACACAGTTAGTCTTTGGAGAGCTTCTGACAAACCTTCTCCTGTGATTGCACAACAGGGTTGTACGTACCAATTTCTGTCACAGCAGTACTTCTTCACGTGGAATCTCCTGGTTATTTCCTCAGCATTTAAAGCTCCAGGCAAATCCTGCTTGTTTGCTAGCACGACAACTGGTACATTTTTTATAGATTCGTTCTTTAAAATGAGTTCAAATTCTTTCTTTGATTCTTCTAGACGTTGCTTATCAGAGCTGTCCACGACATACAGGATTCCTTCTGTGTTTTCCAGGAAGTTGCACCAAAGCTGTCTCATTTTTTGTTGTCCTCCAACATCCCAAATTGTCAACGTAAAATCTCTGCCGGTTTCAATCATATCAACATTAAAGCCAATTGTTGGAATTGTTAGAAAATCTTCATTATACTTGAACTTGTACAACAGTGTAGATTTCCCAGCAGAATCAAGTCCTAACATCAGTATATTAGCTTGTTTGACTTTGCAGTGTTTGGTGCTCTGGAGGCCCATCTGTGCCGCGTTATCCTGTATGAAGCCTTTACAGGTGGTATTCGCTGTCTTCTGGGCAGCCAAGTTTTCCAGTAAGACTTTTTCCCTCCTCCGCGAGATGAAGCGCGAAGAGTAAGGAAGAGGAAGTGGAAGCAGCAGCTTTGCGCTACGAAAAATAAGTAAAAGCTCTGTACAAATACACTCTGGCTTTTACCAACTTGATAATATGCAAACAGTGTTTATGATGGTGTAATATTCAGTGCCAAGCCTGTGGGTGGAACACTGAGTAATGCACCGATTGGTCACGGAGCCCAAAGGTTACAGTCTGTGAACAAGTTTGAACACTGACCCACACTTAGATGACCATCCTGCTCTAGAATTCAAGAACTGCTTTTTATGTTGTAAAATTGTCTGGTGGTCCGGGGAACCACCCCCTGTCTGCCGCTGTTTCCGTGTGTGCTCAGAGAAAACTGCGTTTTTATTGCATCCATTTTGGAGAAGAAACCTAATATCGGTACAGCCAGCGAGGCGCGGAAATCTTATAGGTTTGTCAGGACTTATCGATCTGCAAAATGACGAGGTACCTGATTCATCAGTGTATCTCATCTCCCAGCAATATGCTAATCTCAAGTGGCTTCTAATGTAAGTCTACGTAGGTATATGGACTCAACCAAATCATAATAGCGTAGGAGCCTAAAATGCTGAGCACTTAAAAATGTGCTCTGTTCTGAAACTGTCTCCCTTTGACTTAGTAAGTTCCCTTCCTGCTCATTCCTGTGTGAATTTGTCTGCTTTGATTGTGCTGCTGTAAACCCGGTGAGTTACGTTTTTATGAACACGTCTAACTGCGCCCGGCATGATGGAGACAGATAAATGCAGGTCTTATGATCTGCTCATGGGTGAGATTCAGCTACCTGAAATCAGGAGTTCCTGTTAGCTTCATTGTGATCTATTCTGTTGTTTCTCGCTGATCCTACAATGAAGATTTCCTCTGAGAAAGGAATAAGAAAGGTGGAAGTAACTGAGTCTCAATCAAAAGATGATTTTTTAATTTTTATTTTTATACTAACATTCTAAATAGTAGACTAAAAAAGAAAAAAATGAACATTTAGTCTAATATTATTTAATTCATGTTAGGTCTCAATTTTTTGACAGCTCCTAGATTTATATTGAGCTAGTCCAACACATACCAAGTCCTTCAATATTTGTTTGCCCTTATAGCCAGATAACTAGTATTTATTAGTATCATTTGTCTTTGCTTCAGAAAGTACCTAATCAGCAAATAGATGTAAAGGTCTTCTGGCCAAATGAGCTGCTGACTGATAGGGTAATCATTTTGGTAATTATGACATCGGTTGCCCCGGATATTACACATTATGTAAAAAAAAAAAAAGTCAGTCTTGACAGACAAGTTATAAGCTGGTTTCTCTTGAAGCTAAAAGGGTTATACCAGAACTAATTGGGGGCAACAAAAGATGACAGTGACAGACTCACTCTTGTACATTTTTCATGTTTAATAACATACATAGATTATGTATAGGATTTCTTTCAGGAAAAAGTATTAAACCATGGAAGAAAGTATTGCTGTTTCTTTATAAATAATGTATATGAATTGAAAGATGGGGAGAGAGGCGACTATGCAAAACACATTGTTAGCACAGTCAAATGAATCATAATTCCCTGCAAAATAGCATGTCATTTCCATGAAATATGGTTATCTTGATAAAGGGCAAAACCTCCCTCCTGCGTGAGCTGTGACAGCGTGGATGGATGTGTCCCTGGGTAGCGCTGTGATTTAAAGATTACTTACAGTTCTCTGCCCTGTACGCTTCCTTCAACTGTATTCGATATTTATGGTCTCAACTGCTATTTTACTAAATCTGACCATCACTTTAAAGAAGTGATTAAACAACATCTGACTTTTTACAAGCAAACTAAATTTATTTCCAGGAGAGAACAGCTACTTCCTGAGGACTGCGCACTTCTGCAGGTGTAAACCGTGCCTCAGTCAAGCACTGCTTTGCTTCAGAGAACGGTTTGGTAACTCAGAGCCACGTCCCATGACTTGCTGTGCTCCTTAGCAGCTCGTGCAGCGGTACGCGGTGCCAGCAGAACCACGGCCACCTGCATGTGGAGCACCGCAGCGAGGCCTCCCCATCGGCTAGCAGGAGGGTGGCCGAGTGGCACTGCAGGTTTCATCCAGCATCCATCGTCCATCATCCATCATCCACCATCCGTCATCCGTCACCCAGCAGCCCAGCACCCAGCAGGCTGCATCTGGAAGGTTCTGCGGGCAGGGCCGCGGGCTCGATCCTAATTCACTTACAGAACGAGCAGGGCTGCAAAGCGCTGCCACGCAGCCGAGTGCTGCATCCTGGGAGGGCACAGCGCTGCTCCAAAGGGCCACGGGCAGCCTCCCCGCGGGCTGTGGATGCGGAGTGGCACCCGATGCGCTAATCCGGAGCGAGCCGCCTCAGGACAGCCCGGTAAGCAGCGCTCTGCGTTCACCCAGGCAAACACACATCTGGGACACCGAGAGAACCACCTCTGCGTTGTCCAAAGGTGTATTTGCTCTGCCGGGGCGAGGCTGTCGTGCCGCTGGGGCACGCTCAGCTGAACACCCCGGGGTCATAAAACACAGAGAGGGGGCGGTGGGGCCGCCGGGGGGACCCCGGAGCCGCTGAGGCGCGGGGGCTGAGGCGGGAACGGCCGTTGGGCTGAGGCGGGAACGGCCGTTGGGCTGAGGCGGCCGCCCGGCACCGCGCTGCTCGGCTGCTTTCCCTTCCCTTTTCTTCCCTTCCCGTCCTTTCCCGTCCCTCTCCTCCATTCCACTCCCCTCCTCTCCTCTCCCCGCCCCGCCCCGGGCCGGAGCTCTCCGCGGCGGCCTTGCCGTGAGGCGGCGGCCCCCTGGCCGCGGGCCCCGCCGGTGCCGCTGCTGTGCCCGCCTCAGGTCCCGCAGCTCCCCCGCAGCTGGGCGCTGAGCCCCGGACGGCTCGCAAGGTAAATGGCTCCGAGCCCCGGCTCGCAATGCAAAATACCGCATCTCTATCTGTATTACTATGAAAATGAACGTAACCCAGCGCTTTCTGCACAGCAGATTTGCTCTTAAAGGTTTCTGCCTTCGGGCCGCTACCTCCGCAAGCTCTTCACTCACTGCAAGCTGTCCTAGAACGGAAAATTGAGAGTGCCCAGACAACATGAAGCAATAGGAAGTCATTAAAAAAATATTGAAAGTGTTTTGCACAGTACTGTTGTTTTGGATAGCCTGGTATCTTGCACAAATACCTCTATCGGTAGTAAGAACTTGAGAAGCCAAAAAATTAAAATGGATTTGCAAATGATTTCTGCAAGTTGATTTAAAAAATATATTTTGCTATATTTCTGGAATTATAACTAATAGCAGGTATTTTTAACCTTTAAAACAGTCAATTCATTGATTACTGTTATTATTAGAATTTAATTATTACAATAATTTGCTACTTTTTTTTCCTGTCAAATATGCCCACGCTAAATAATAACCCAGCTATAACAGTATGAGTATCTAAAATTCCTAAGAGCATGCTCAGACTGTTTTCTGAAATTTGTTTTAAAGCAATTGGTTTTATCTGGCAGCATAACCTCAGACATTATTGAGTCTTGCCAGGAAGCTGCAAATTCACAAATGAAACCATTTCCTTGGAAGAACCAATCCTGAACATTCATTTAAGCATCTGAGCTAGGAATAGCAGTGGATTCTTCTGTCCACTGAGGGTTTTCTCTTTAATTTGCCCTTTCTTTCTGCATGAGTTTGAAGCAGAGTTCTGTGCCAAACATGTTTGGAGGATGACTGGCCTGCATTGCGGATGCTCAGCACTACAGAAATAGCTGCCTGATGCTTTGGGGTGCGTGGCTTCTATCCCTGACCATCACGAGAGCCTTGTGTGGTGCACCTGTGCTAGCTTGCAAAGAGGTCAGTGTGTCACTGGAGGAACGTGACCTTGGACGTCCAGAAGTGCTCTCTGCCATCAGCAGTGCTCCTGGCACCTGCTGGCTGCTGCCCTCTCCTTGCCATGGATCGCTGCCTGCCTGCGGGAGCCAGCAGCTCGCCTCTGGCTGCCCGTCCTCTTTTCTCCCTCGTGCAGCTGTGTGATCCGCCTGGGTGGTAGGTTGGTGTACGAAGAGAAAAGAAGTCAGCACCTTTCTTTTTTTCTTCCTGTAAAGCTGGGAAGGTAATAACCAGCTTGGAGTGCGTACAGGAAAGGGAAGTGAGAGTGGTTTGGGATTCTAATCAACTTTCCTAAGTTACTGGTAGCTTGAACAGTCCTGATGATACTTTCCTCTGCACTTACAAGACTTCAATTTTGTTTTATTTGCGTGTGTTTAATTCGTGTGGAGAAACAGAAGTGAATCAACACAAAACTTCTGAGGTTCTGTGTTTGTGTAAGGTAGGGAGAGACCATCGTCATGTAGGAAGTCCTTAATAAAAGCCACCTCGTCACCTGCAGCTCTGTGAGGTACCCTCAGGGAAGGATCAGCTCCTGTAGCACGTAGTGGTTTGGAGGTAATACATCCCTGAGAGGCATCAGTCTCCTGTTTAAACAGCTTTTTGTATAAAATTGCTTTAGTACATTCTAAGTGGTGCATTATGCATCGCTGATGAAATGGAGTCTGAACACTTCCTGTAGAGGGAAGGTTTATTTCAAGTCAAGTCACACAGAAATAGAAGGCAGGTAGGCTCTGGTAAATCAAATCAACCCAAATTCTAGCATTGTTTTTTTTGGTAAATGCTTTATATCAAGAAAACTCCAAGCTCTGCAGTGATCTTTGCAAAGATAAGTTAACGTATTTAATTGTGCTGAGAGGTTCAACCTTCCACCATCCGTACGATGTCCTTGTATTTCACAGTACGGGGTAGAAATCATTTGGAAGCCTCTCGGTATGACATAGTAATTATTTTCACTTAAAGATACCTAATCCATGTTCACAGTGTATGTAATTTTAAAGAAATATGGTAAAGGTAAGCACTGCTGAATGGAGGGCACAAAAAAATGGGATTTTATTTTTCAATGTAGCTGTAGAAAGCTGTAGTGGTCTGAGCTTACAAGCTGTAGTACCTTGTCCTGGTACTGTACTTATATCTTCAGCATGGACTCCAGGCACAGCCCTGAGGTGATGGAAAAATTATTTGCCCGTACTTCTTTCTTCACCTGCTGTCTTGGCCTGATTTGCTCCATCTCATGAAAACTAGCAGAGCCTCCCTTCTCTGAAATAAACTACACATTTCTGAAGGCTCTGAACATCCATTTGACAAATGCTTTGTAGCCATTAGATTTTGTGGTCTGTATTCCTTCCTCCAGATTGAAATGAGTCGAAGACATTGTGCTGAGAGCTTTCGGCTTTCTTTGGGATCAAAATGTTTGATGAGTGATCTCTTGCCGAGATGTGGTTTATGTAAGGGAAATTTCCAGGGTGAAGGCTTAAGAGGCTTCAATCCATAGCGTACTCAGCAGCAGCTCAGTATTCTGCTCATGCTCGTTTCTGGGATGCCGCGTTGATTCAGGGTATATAGGATGCTGCATGTGACAGCCAGACCAGTGAATCTTGGATGTGTCTTCATTATTTTATAGCACACTTTTAGCTGACAAGCTAAGAAAAAGATCCTGTTTGAGCAATAGCCTTCTGAATACAACCTTTTTCATTTCTTTTTCAGTAAGAAATGTGCCTCAGAACTTGTGGTGCAGATTTGGAAGGCCACTGATGTACTTCTACAAATTAGCTATTGCCTAGTTCCAGAAAGTGTCATGTATGTGGGACTGTTACAATGGGTTTTCTTGCTGCTTCTCATATTTTCAATCGTAACAATGTGGTACATCACCTTTTCTTCAAACACTGTGATTGAGCATGCAAACACCATGTATTTCTATGAATACGAACCAGTTTACAAGCAACCCTACCTCTTCACGTCACGAGAACACTTGAAATGCAAAGACATAAATCCGTTTCTAGTCATCTTGGTGTCTTCAAGACCTAATGATGTGGAGTCAAGGCAGGCCATAAGGATAACATGGGGATCTCACAGCTTCTGGTGGGGACATCGGATTTTAACGCTGTTCTTACTGGGTCAGGAAACGGAAAGAGAAGACAAGTCTGCAGCACTGTCAGTAGAAGATGAAAGCATCCTGTACGGTGACATAATTAGCCAAGATTTTATGGACACTTACGACAATCTGACCTTGAAAACAATTATGGCGTTCCGATGGGTGACTGAGTTCTGTCCAAATGCTAGATTCGTCATGAAGACTGATTCTGATGTCTTCATCAACACGGGTAACTTAGTAAAATTTCTTCTGAAGCTCAACTCCTCAGAAACTATTTTCACTGGTTACCCTTTTATAGGTAGCTTCGCCTACAGAGGCTTCTACAAGAAAACGTACATCTCGTACGATGAATATCCTTTCAGTTTTTATCCGCCGTACTGCAGTGGCATGGGTTATATATTGAACGGAAACCTGGCGCTGAGGGTTTATGAAATGATGAATCATATCAGACCTATTAAATTTGAGGATGTTTATGTTGGAATTTGCTTAAATATACTCAAGGTGAACATCATCATTCCAGAAGAAGAACGGTTCTTTCTTTATAAAATTAATTTTGATGTCTGTAAGTATAGGCATTTGATTGCAGTACATGGCATTAAGCCTAGTGAAATGATCCAGTTTTGGCAGGATTTGTCATCCAACACTTCAGTTACTTGCCTTTGATTCTGTATAAATGTACGTGAGCTTAAACCTGTACTGTCTTAAACCTAGAATTGTACTGCAAAAGTGTTCAACTAATGCACAGGGCCACATGAAACAAAAGCATGGTTGTTGAGCTGACTTTGGCTGAAGGACAACTGTGCTGCTGGGGGAAAGCTGCGATGGCAGCATTTCCTGGGATGTTCTCATATTCTTAAGTGAAAATATCAGGAATTCACAGAGCACTTTTCCATGTATATATCCTATGCATGCAGGATACTTTGGAGTATGCTGTCCTGTCTTGCTCTGATGCTTCTGCACGCTGTATGCTGTAACCATGGGATTTCTGCCTGAATCTCCTGGAATTTATAAAAAGTTACAGGAGTTATGTTTATGCCAAGAAACTAGCTTGGAAGATGCTTCTCAGGGTACTGCCTAACTTGATTTCTTTTGTTGTTTTTGTGAACTGCATCATCCTTTGCTGCCTTCAGGTACTTGTTCTCTGCCCAGCAAGGAACTCGGAGCTACCTTCGTACTGACACAGAAACCCCTCTGTAATCGTTCTGAGTGTCCCAGGGCTCTGGATTTGTGGGGTGTGCAGAAGCCAAGGGGAAGTTCTGAAAAGGGGATGCACTCTGTGTGCACGTGTCTGTATATTTATATACATGTAAACCAGAACTGTTTTGGTGCCTTACAAGGAACATTAGTAACGTTCACACACCAGTAGAGGGCTGGCCCCAGAATACTCCATGTGCAGTGTGGGCCCGAGACATCCCTCACGCAGTGATATCATCAGGTACCGCATGTATCCGTACACGTGTGTGTGTGCTGATGCATCCCGAGGGTTCCTGGCACCACACTTCACATCCATTCAAAACTTTATATCCATTTCAAAAATAGTCTTCGTGCTTCAGGTATTAAAGTGAAAGAAGTATGAGGTTCTGTGCTTCTAATGTAAAGAAGACAAAGTGTACTGTATCTGTAAAGATGGGTATTCTAATCACTTTATTCATAGCGGCAAGACCAAGGTTTCAGTAGTTTACACTTCTAATAGACAACGATACAGAATTTGCAATTACATTAACATAATTATTCTAGACACATCTACTACACAGCGGAGACTATAGTTACATCCTGTACATCTAGAATGACAGAGCACTGCCACTTTATTTGTACTATAGCTAACGTGTTATGATATATTTACATTTGGCTGTCTTTCAGATAGTCTCTTAGAGACAAATTAGAAGAGGTACAGAAGCCTCTGGTACCAAGACTGAGGTTTCACCAATGTTTTTGTTATGCTGTGGTTATGGTCAGTATTGAATTCTGCTGTCTTCTCAATAACTACATGGTTTTATGATGGAAGTATAGGACTTTTTAAATATATATAAAAATGATGTATTGGGGAAAATACTGCCTAGACAAGTATTTCAGATTTCAGTGTTCTAAGAACGTATGGGTCAAAGCTTTTCAAAAATACATATTTTTCGTTAAACCAAATAGCTAAAGCTACTGTATTGCATAACCAAGGAAAGAATGCTGTTGTAGCTCCCGAAACAGAGGTAAAACTACAGTTATTCCTGTTGTTTTAGGATCCGTTATTTGATTGTTGTAGCACTGTGGTCAGATCCTGAGAGCTCTGTGAGAAATGGTTAACTTGCTCTTTGATTGTTTATACCTCTAAATAAAACAAAGCCATTGGTTTTTTAAGCCTGCCATGTAAAATGTTTAGAAATAAATTATTTGTCACAAGAACACTGATACTACAGCATAGTTTGTATTGCTTTTTCAAAAAAATGTGGTTATGAAAGACTATGAAATCTTTAGCAACTGGGTAGATAAAGCAGACAGTGCTCCTGGTGAGAGAATAAAAAGGAGTACCCGGGGTAAATGGCTGTGCAGTGCTGCAGTAAAAATGTGACCGTCACCAAGCAAGGTAGTTTCATATTTGCACCCCAGAATGATAATGCTGATTATAGATTGCAAGGCTTTTGCTTTCACAAATGCAGCTTTATATACACCGTGAGCTGTTTATGCCACCTGAAATTGTCATTTAAAGGGAACATCAGTTCTGCACTGCAAAGTATTCCTGATTCTATTTTTTTTCTTTTTTTTTCTGAAACTCTTTCCCAAGTCTAGTTTGTATTTGAGTCTGACCTTATTATTGCTTAAAAGGCTGGAAAAACACACAACTAAGCTAATGGTTCTGCTTAAAGCAAATATCGGGAGAGATTCTGGTGTGAGCAGCCATGCAACAGGTAAAACAGCTTACGACGGGGGACTAATACAAGCATTTAAATCAGTGCTGGGCCCAAATTTTATAGCATCTGCTTACTGAAATTATGCATAAACCACAGGCTAAGATTTTTCCAAATCCTAAGATTCTTTTTACTGTGCACGCAGGTGGCTCAGAAAGCCATATTAACATAAAATGCCAAGCAGTTCTGATAGTGATATGTTTCTGTTTTGAAAAAGCTGATAATCCATTGGTCAAAGATGTCTGGAAACTACTTCAGGGTGAACAGCAAAATGTTTACAGTCTGACATTTCAAGCCTGTCTTGCCTGTACATTGTTTCACAGAGTTCCTAAGTCAAAATGCTTCTGTGTGTTGTGGATGTTTGAAAATAAACAAGGTCAGTATAAGCCACTACGCGTGTGCTGCAAATCCGGAGGCATTATTCTCTACAACCAGCTCAGCGTGAGAGCACGCAGACCGGTGGGCACATCTTCCTAAGTTTTATGGTGCGCTCTCTAGTTAGTACTAACAGATCTCAGAGCAAGTGGTAAGTACCTCATGAATAGCTGTACAGTAAATGATGTAATTTCACCATATTTTAAAAAAAATTAAACTAGAAGCTGACTGGAGGTTAACCAACCAAAGTGACACCGAGTTGCTGATGTGCCTACCAGGTATGTTAGCGGTGGGGAGGCAGAGCTCTACTGCCTATTTTTTGTCTCTATTTTTGTCTGACCAATGTGTACCACGTTGGTCATTTATTAAATTTCCTGTGATTTGCTTACAGTCGAGGGGTGGGGGAAAGAGATGGAAAGCTTTCTGCAGTCTGACGGTTAAGTTAAGCTTGTCAAGTTGTAATGCAGTTACTCGGTATTGCTGCAAGCCATAGCCGAATGAAAGGACTCCATGTAGGAAGGAAAGCAAACAGTTAAAAAGGAACACGGCAGATGGTTTATTAGTCCTCATTTTAGAGAAACCCCAACTTGTGAAAAACAGAAAAATAGACTGGGTTTGTGAAAATCATAAAGATGCTTTCTTTCACAGGCCGTAAGAAAGCACAGTCTGTCTGAGATACTGCTGTTCCGTGAGTCTTAGCTAAAGGCCCTGTCCACCTGCCCCTGGTACGAGGAAACATTCTGTCTTCTGTAGGACAGTTTGTCTCACCTGCACTTACGGGACTGCACTTAATTTTCTTGTTATGAAATAAGCATTTAAAAACACGGCGTTCACCCTAGGTGACCTCTCCTGAGCGGGTCTGTGTCTCTGAGCACTGTTTACCTCTGGCCTTCCCACAGTTGCTACGCAGCACGTTCATTTTCCAGGCCACATTAATCCAAATGACCCGAATGAGGTTTTTTATAGTGTGAGTGACGATGGTGCGTAGATGTCATAAGCATCCCGGTCTGCTCTCTGCCCTGGGGTGACACAGCCCGTGTCCTTGCTGCTCCTCTCAGTAGTGCTGTGTGGTAGGCCTGGAAGTAAGAGGAAAGCGTAGCCTCCCCTGAGCTTGCAGTAAAGATGCAATCTCAAAAACACGTGTTTTTGAGAGAAAAAATGTTAAAAGAGAAGCCGGAAGAGGCTCTTATCTAAGAGAATGCAGCGACATTGTACTAAATGGAAGCTGTCTTTCACCAGGACAAATTGCTTAAGCATGGTGGTTTTATCTGGTGTGTTGTGTAGGCTGTTCTCCAATAAACATCCACGCTACCTGTACAGAACCCTCACTGTGCACTTCATTTTCATAATGAGCTTTCCCTGGTCATTTTTTTTGAGAGCACTTAAAAATGCCATGTGTAGAAGTGGTTTTGCAGGCACACAGTGTAATACTCATGCGATACATCTTTAAAGTTGTTCTTGTAGCCCCGGCCCCTGTTAGCTTTGTCCTTAACGGTAGCATGATTGGTACAGTTTGACATATTAAAGGCAGGCAGATTTGAAATGTACAAAAGTGAACTTCATTTGTAAATCCAGGACTTGCTAACCACTGAAAGAAACAGTTTATCACGGAGCAGTGTAATGGTTCGGTACAGAGTGGAACCAACTCCACAGAACTTTTTCCAAAGGCAACTCTTTAACATAACTCATTGTTTTCTTACCCGGACAAAGTTGAAAAATTGCACGGGGACTTTGGCAGTTCTGGTGTGAAAGTCTGATTTCATCGGCAGATGAAGCCAAGTGAGCGCATGGGCAGAGGCACAGGAGCAAACTTGTGCTGCTTTTGCACAGGCACAGCCCTGCTTGCTGGGGGCACCGAGCAGGTATTTGTCACACAGCTTGATTGGGACTGTTCTCCTAATTACCAGGATTAAAGCACACGCAGTTAAAGTACACTTTTGTCTACATTACCCTCACGCCCCTGAACACAGTGTAGGAGTGGGCAGAGAGCAAGGCTTCTCAGCCCCGTATTTTCATTTCTAAAGCGCTATATTGATTATTCATTCAGCTTTGCTGCATACAGGCTGAAAAAGATTTCTGGGCACCTGTGTCCCAAGAGGTACTAACGGGTCTGCACAGGCTTCAAAGAACACACGGCTGGTGCTTTAAATGCAGGGTGAAAGCTTTATTTCCCTCTTGCTCAACCACCTCAGTTTGTCCTTAATGCCAGATGTAGGAGCTGACACACTCATAAAAGTGGATTTCAAAACTTTAGTCCAGAATTGCTCTTGATGTCAGCCTCTCTATTTATGGCTTTAGACAGGTGTCAGCTGCTTTGACTGCACACTTTGCTTAACGGAGCACAGTAAGCCTGCAATGGTTCGTGTAACTGGTGATAAACTGAAACCCGGAACCTCTGGCTACCTGGGGGAAAACAGTATTTAAAACAGCTGCTTACCTGAGCCTGTCACTACTACGTAAATACAAGTAATTCAAAATGCAAATTAATATTAGCTTAACTGTATATGTCTTACTAGATACGAGCCCTCAGATTTAGAATGCTAAGTTACAGCATATTGGTAACGTGGAGGGGCAGCAGCTCTGGTCTTACAGCTGTCACACTCTGCAGCACGTTGTAATTCCCTCAATCGTGCAGTTGTGTACGGCCAGACCTCAGGATGGAGGCCGAACAAACTACTTTAGAAAAGGCTGATGAGTTGTGGCTTTTTCCTTTGATATAATCATTTACTAAATGGTTCTCTGCATACATTTGCAATATATCAATACTATATAAAGCCAGAATGCCATCTATTCTGAGAAGCAGCTGAACAAACTTTATTTTCAAGATTCAGCATTAGTGGTGACGTAGCAGTTAGTTCAAGCTGATGCAGTGTTCTAGTACTAATTTCTGTATCCTAAAATCTTCACAACTTTCTAATTTTACGTGTAAGTGGTATAATACTCTAATAACAGTAACAGTAGTTCTGATGCCGACCTTATGTTTGCAAGTCAGCAGACAATTCCTTGTTATGTTAGATGGCATTTACTTTATTTGTATTTATCTAAATACCGATCAATAAAATGGACTCATTCCTTTCAGATTTAGTGCTTGTAGAAATGTTAGGCCTCCAGAGCTGCTGCAGCCCCCAGAACGTTACCTGTGACCATCTGTCCCCCGAGACAGCACAGCTCTGCCCTGCCACCAGCACCGGGTGCCCACCAAAAGCAGCAGCACGCGTTTTGCACGGGACCAGCGATGAGTTCTGGAGCATTCCCAGCTTGTTGCTGTGGTCTGAGCGAGCTGCGCTCAGGCAGATGTTTGGAGCCCGCAGACAAACACCAGGAGTGCAGCCACCGGTGTCGTGAGGTGCTGCAAAATTCAGCCTGAGAGCACGGGCCCGCGCCAGCCTCCCGGGGAGCGTGCACACGGGGCAATGGAGCCTCAAATCTCATCGTCCCGTGCGTGTGTGCCCGCAGCGCGGCTCTGAGCTCGGCACTGCCCGGGCCGTGCCTGGGGCCGACCACGAGGCGGAGCTGTGAGACCGCCCCGCACCCGTGGAGCTCCCTCAGTGCACCAGGAGCAGCAAACGGCGAGGTGCAGCCCTGGGCAGGATGACTGGGTACAGGCACAGTTTTCACATTGGACCGTGCAAAAGATGCTCTTTGGCAGCAACTTCATGTATCAGCTTTCTGCCAGTAGATGCGCTTGCCTGATGAGCAGATGTCGCTGATGGAGCTTAACTGACAAAAAACTTCCATGAACACCTAAGGCAAGGAGGGAGCTCTGCCATGTCTGCTCTAAGCTGTATGAGTAAGGCAGGAGAATCAGGCCCTAGATATTTTAGGCTGTTTAAGCAATATGGACGTTACTTAACCTGGTCATGGGGCAACTAGCTGCATGGATCAGAGCAGAATTTGGCACAAATCGGCACAGCCAGAAAGCTGCAGAGCTAAAACTGGGTTAGCAAACAGACATCTGGCAGGGAACATGGGCAGGCACCACGCCTGGACAAGGAAGACTGCACGAAGCCTCCATCTCCACTAGTCCTTCATCTCTAAACCTAGAGCAGCTGTTACCAGTTTTTTAAAAGTAAACCAAAGCAAGACAAGACAACAAACGCCAGCAGCATCACCAGAGATCACTGCCTTAACAGCTGTGGCCAGGAAGGGAGCTGCTACAGGGGCGGGAGTGTTACAGAGACAGCTGAAGGGGCTGAAGCAACCACTGCTGTAACTGCAAACGCTGAAAGGTTGAGACAGAGCCGAGTCAGTAGCTGTCGGGGCAGCCACAGGCATGAGGGAATCCTGGCATAAATATCCAAGCAAGCCTGCAGGACACTTCTGCATTGTGCTGTGAGTTTTTAAATTCTTCAAGCAAGCCATGTGAGAGTTTGCTTTACTCCCTCCCTCAGCTTCCTATGGCAGCTACGGGGCTCTGAAGGCACGCATTTCCTGCTACCTCATTTCCCAGCTATCTCAAGTGCTAGAGCACCCAGAAAGGCAGCCGTGCTCAGGAGGTCTGGAATTCCTCAGCAATGCTTGCCAGCCTCAGGCATGTGCACTGCGGAGAGGTTTACTGCAGCCACAAGCTTTTCACTGAAGTGGGGTTAGTCTACAAATATTTTTTAGAGCTGCCCATTGCTCTGCTTCCAAGTTCTCAAATGCCCATGACGGACTGGTAGTTCTGTCACTGCTGCACAAGCCTCTCTGCTTCAGTCTTCTGTGGACTGCTAGGTCTAATTCTTCTTCTCTCTGGGCAGTTGTTTTGATAAACATCCAATCTCTGCTCTACACAGGAAAGCCAGCACAACAGAACCATCACCTGTGAAGGAGAAAGGAAAGGCAAATGCTCCATGCACCATGAGCTCTGCCTAGAGCCCGGTTTCGATCCTGCTGCTGTAGCATTATGATGTGATTTAGCACTCCCTTGAAAATAGCGCACGAGGTTTTCATTGCACAGCATTTGACCTCAAATACTTCTTCAAAATAAAACAACGGAGGAACCCTGCAATTATCAGCATTTCTGGGTACCCACTCCATTTAAATGCAAATCTGCATTCCAAATTCCCTGAAAGCTGTTCTTCCTGTTCAAGGGATTAAAAACGCCTGAAACCTTGCATCCTCCGGGGAAGGGCCACTCAGGCTGGCTTCAGAGCACGCTGGACACTTCTGTACTTCTGTGTCTTTGTCCTCTACTCGGAGCCAAGGGGCTCTACTCGCAGCTTTGACCGAGAAGAGGCAGCTGAAGGCCACATGTACATGTTGGAGAGCACTGGCAATAGCAACATCTCCAGCTAAAAATTGTGATTATCTCCAAACAAACTCAAGAAGGGAAGTTTGGTAGGACAGAGCTAACCTAGAAATAAAAATGAAAAGACTGAGCTGGGAACTCCCTGCACAGAAAGCAGAATTTGTGCTCTCATCTTGAGAGACATCCCACCTGCTAACACAGCCACAACAGAGCTTGCAGAGACCTGCAAGCCACTTTCCCAGCAAATGCTTTATGTGGGCGATAGCTTTTTGTCTAATTACTTTGTATCCTCACCCAAGAAGCAGTGTTAGTTACTCTCTAACTACAGCCGATGGCCCTGGTTCAGCACAGGGACCAATTCCAGAGAACTTCCACTACCTCCATGACAAGAGACGGCAGCAGATCATCCAGGAGCACATCCTGAAGGGGTGAGGAGTCCTAGGGGACACGATGCAGGTATGCAAGCCACCCAGAACACCAACATCCAACTCGGGCCCCGACTCTGTTCCCCTGACATGTGCAGTCCTGTCATGCCGCCACTGCTGCCCCTTGTTCATGAAGCAGCCAACTACATTATCAGATGGCACACTCAGAATGCCATTGCTTAAACTTACAACAGTCACAGGTTCCAAAATACAGTTACATATTGAAAGTTAGATCTAAAAATATTTTTATCTAGATTTATCACAAGCTTTCATCTCAACAGTGTGGTGACACTGTTTGGCATTAATCCATTAAACCAAAAAACAATTCTAAGGAGGCCTTCCCCCGAATTAAAACCACAAATTAACCTGTGGTGCTACAAAGAAGTCTTTAAGAGGCGTGACTTCCACCTAGGTAGCTCTAAGGAACATCTGCTTTGATTAGTTTTCCAAACAGTCACCAAGGAAATGAATTTTATCTTGCATTGTTCTCTTACATGCCTATGAAAAGTCCATGCGAAAAAAATAACAGAAAAGTGAGTCTCAGGCAATGACAGGCATTCTGATAGCGCAACAGAGCTTGTTTTTTTTGTTGTTTTTTTGTTTTTTTTTTTTGATAGAGGAGGTGACAGACCTCAGACCGCCAGTATCCTGCTGGAGTTTAACCCTGTGGAGTAGAAGGAATGCTGGTAAAGCAGTGCACGGACTGGACAAGTGTGTGTCTTCGGGTAGCTCAGTACCTACACCTAACCACGTGCTCGGCAGGGGTTATTTAATGTGGGGTGGGAGGGGAAGCAAAGCGCGAGCCAGCTGTGTGACAGCGGGCGAACAGCTGGCTCCTCCTCGTACCAGTAACAGCCCGACAATCACAGACCTCCTCCAACACAACCTTATCACTGCAGATTAAAAAGAAAAGAGATGAGAAACATTAGAGCATCGTTCTGATAAGTCACACCTACAAGTGAAAAGCACCATCACTACCACCTGCTATTGGCAGCAGCGCTGCCCTGCCCTGCTGTGCATCACATCAAACCTCTGTTAGAAATGAGAGGTAAAAAATCAAGTGAAAAGCATACGCAGGATTTTGAAAGAAAATTCTGAAATGGAAGATTACAGTTAGCTTCTAAGGAGCAGCAAGGTCACAGGAGACAGATAGGTGTGAACAAACTTAATTCTGATAATCACTCAAAATGTGTTGGTTGTATTGCTCCTTCTGTTAAGCGAAGAACAAAGACCAGAGGGATCTGTTCTTTTCGTGGAGAATCTTAATGGTATTTACTAGAGCCTTCCACTATGTTTAAAATGTGAGAGTTTGTTTTAAGTTCAGCGTGAGGCAGAGAATCACTGGTAATTATTGTTCTTCTGTTTTGCTGCTATTCCTGAACTTCACCACCATCACTGTTATATTATCAGGGCAGCCTCTGTAAAAGGACTGTAGAACTATACTCTTTGCACCAAAGTGTGGCTCATCCAAGCGTTCCTTGATGAACCGGACAGCCTCCTCGTTGCTGAAAGCATCCCACAGGCCGTCGGATGCCAGGATCATGAACTCTGGCTGCAGTTTGTCCAGGTCAAAGGTGAGGATGTCGGGGTCGGGAATGACAACATTCAGGTTCTTCAGAGGGTAATCCCCCAGCGAGCGGGACATGGCCAGGATCCCCTGAACACGCCAGGAGCCATTAAAGCTGATGAATCCACCTGGAGGGAAACACAAACGCTGTTAAAACCTTCCCCGACTCACTGTCAGATCCACCCAAAAATTCGTGATGTGGTGTCCTGAGCTACATCAACATTACAGATCTCAAAAAATAGGGGATGTCTTCAGTCAGTGTCACAGTGCTGCAACGAAGAGCGGGACCGTGCCCGCCTGCTCGTGCTGCTGGAGCAGCTGGAGCACACGAGTGGCTGCGCTTTTGAATGAAACAGCTTTGTAGTCCCCAGTGAGACTGCACCGTACCGAACGCACAGACAGGTGTTGCTGTGCTGCACAAGTTAAAAGTTATTGGCAAGCCTTGTGGCGATGTTAAAATGAAAATACTGAAAGCGAGTCTTTACATCTTGTGTCAGTGAACCCTCCTTTTTCAGTGAAGTTCATGTTTCCCCACCTCAGATCTCTGAAGGAAACATAACAGCGACAACACCTGCAGCAGGGCCCAAATCTCACTTAAGGCGTTAGGAAAGAAGCAAATGCAAAAACATTTGTAGGCTCTTCTAGCAAACTGCCCCGAATGAGGTCTGTCAAACACACCCAAAAAAACACTGTCAACAAACCAATCACAAAATTTTAAGCTACAAAAATGCAGGGTGGGATCTGACTGTCTGACCATCACCACGATTAAAGCTACTGCCAGATGAAAATGTGTTACAGCATTTAGAGGTTGCTCGTACTAAGATAGGTTTTGCACTGATACCAATGACTGATCCAGCCAGTGCCTGGCCCGACTGCCTTAGCAAGGGAACGACACAGGGCCTCGAGGTCACAGCAGAATGGCAGCACCTTCAATTTCACGTGTGTGCCTTTGCGTGCCACTGTCTGCACTGATGCACAGCAGGATTTCCTCCAGCTTAACAGGAATCAAAAGTCAGAGTCCCTTGAGGACAACTGACTTGCGAAATGCCCAACACGGAGCATTAAAACACAACCAAGTTACACAAACTGCTGTCTATCTGCAGCTTGTCCCCTTTGGTGCTCTTTGAGATGTGGCTGTTCTTTGTAGTTATCAGAGTGTTTTCAGCTCCTGTTTTACCCTTCTGCGACTCCACTTCAGCCAGGCAGCTGAATGAGCCCTGTCCAGCTGCTGCTGCGTGTTTGTAGGGCACCTGAGCTGCCCATTGCACAGCCACCTCCTCACCAGCACATGGATTTTCTTCAGAAGTGGTTAGAGCCGTAGTAACTCAGCGTGTAATGGTACGTATGTATTGGAATGACAGGGGAAGCAAAACGCAATTAGGCAGAGGCAGTTTAAGCACACATTACACACACAATTAGAGGACAGCACTGCTGCCATCCGTTACTGTGCTCACAGAGAGGGAGCTGATGCTGACTCGCTGGAGTGTGCTTACGCCAGCCTCTGTATGCAGTGCTGCTGCGTACAAAGTGACTCTTCAGTAGGCAACAGGTGAGTAAATCCATTAAGTTATTACGCTAGCTGGAGTATTTCTTGTTCAGCTGCAGGTAATTATAATGTTTGCCTGTCTATTAAATTAGCTTCTTCCAAAGTTGGAAATTCCTGCAGAAATCCAGGTTCATTTTACATGTTGCTGTGTTATAAAGCCTCATTTCAACATAAACAATAAACAACCATTAAGTGAAGGCCTTCTCTAAGTGAACAACTGTGCAGAGCACCTGGCTGATGTTAAAGGAGGCCTCGGGAAGTTGAACTGCTAAATGGAAAACTCTCCAGTTTTTATGAATACATCTCCCAGGTACGCAGCTGGAGCAAAGCGAGACCAAGATTTTCCCACTCCTTCTTCTTAGGATCTGTAAACTTTTTATGTCCCCTTGGGGAACTTACACGACCTTGGGTCTCTCTGTAGCAGCAGAAGAATCGCAATGCTCTCACGCTTCCTCAGCGATAAAAGCAAACTGAGCAGGCAGGCATTTGACACGTACAGGCATTTATACTAGTGTGGGCATACTGATAACCTGCAGCTTTTAAAAATGCTTTACGCTCAGGGAGAAATGTGTTATTTCCACTTTATAGATGAAGAATTTGAGGCAGAGAAACAATGCATCTCTAGAGGCAACGCTCATCAGTAGGTTTAGCACTTTTTTCTTTATCAAATAATTCCCTGCTGCAGGCTGCTGTGGGAGCCACACCAGAAACGGGTTCAAAAGAGGCTCTGACAAACTCGTGGAGAATTGGCTGTTAAACTCGATGCTCCAAATGTAACTGCTAGCCCAGGGGGTCGCTGAAGTGACAGGGTAAGCAAGCTAGGAAGATTCATTGTGGAAAGATTACTGTTTCTGTACTGCTGCAACATACATTTGTGCTTATTAACAGCGATTATATGGGAATGAAAAATAGTTGTAAAGAATTAGATTCGTGCTCTGCTTATTTTAGCAACTAAACCTCGCTGAGGTTCAGACCCAGCCTCTTAGATGAGGGCTGCTGCCACGATGCGGCTGTGAGGGGGCTGTGTGAGGGGGCTGTGTGAGGGGGCTGCTGCTGGTTGTTAACGTGCTCCCCGCAGGGGCACTGGCCAGGACAGCACACTGGCTGTTGCAGACGAAGGCTGCTCTTCTTACTTTGACACCACCTCATCAAGGCAGAGGCCAGTTGCTTCCATTTGTCTGCACTGTGAGCCCCTCCCAGCAGAGCTGTGTTAATAATGGAAGGGGTTTTCTGCTGATTCCTCGCTCTGGTACTCTCGGTGTCTCACAGGGGAGAAGGCTGCATTATTGACAGAGGAGAGAAAATAAAGATGAACCCTCAATCCGGAGCACAAACGCTGTAACTCACCAGCTCTTTTAATCCTCTTCCTCTCCTTCAGCTGGTAGGGCTTGTGGTCGTGGGACAGGGGGATGGCGTTCCCGTCCTTGTCACACAGCACTCCCCGCGAGTCGCCGACGTTGGCCACCGTGAGCTCTTTATCCGACAGCAGCGCAATCAGACAAGTCGTACCTGGGGAACGGAAGAAGGCAAGGGGAAGCAGAAACCATTACAGAGGATACAAAGATCTGCAGTTACGCTGCAAGTTTTCTCCAACATATACCTGCAAATTTGCTTCAAATATCAGTGCCGGGGAGCAGGCTGTCATCACACCTGGCAGCTTTCTTCTAACGCTACTTAGTCTGTTAGATTTCCTCTCTTACCAGCTGGTTTTACCGAGTCATTCCCTACTCAGGCTATCTCACACTGTTGTTGTTTTTGGACAGACGTTACCCTGCGTCCTGCTGCGGTGGGCACTTAGCTCAGCATTCACTGCCTGCTTCTGCAGGTAGGCGACTGGGGGTGAGGCTGAAAATAAACTCAGGGGTTTCATGCTCAGATAGGAAAAATGACTAGCAGGAAAGCGTTCTTCAGATCTGTGATTTGGGGGAAGAGCTCAGGGGGAAGAGAGGTTTCCAGTCTCTGAGCGCTGCCTTTTCCTGATGGCCAAGAAGAGCAGCAGGGGACAGAAATGTGTCTCGCAGCAGAGCCCCCGCACAGCTTCCGTGAACGGGAACTACTGCACGTGGCTGCGTGCTCAGTGTGACGCTAGGAGACAGCAAACCTGCTAAAACTGCTGCTGGGAGGAAGGCTACAATCTTAAGGATGATTTATTGAAAAAAGAAAATGATTTGACGTTGTTAATTACTTTAACCTTTAAACACACAGAGCATTTAGTCAGTCGTTGACCACAGGCACGGTACTAAGTGGCAGGGAAACACTGGAAAAAATGGGCTGTTCTCAAGGTACTGACACCAGGGGTTTGGTTTTCCTCATTCAACTGGTGTGGAGCAGAGCGGATGCCATTAGGAACGTGCCTTTTGTACACTTTGCCCTCGTAGCCAGTGTGATATGAGCTGCATTAATGAAAACTCCAGCTAATAGAAATACTCCTGCACCAGCTTTGGTGTCGCAATTTCATTCGTATGTTAGAACAGAAAGATGACAAGTGACTGAGGTTTGATACATACACCCATAAACATTAAAAGGGAACGTTCCTGACACGTGGGTTTCATTACAACGCACTCCTGAAGTTATGGCACACTTCTTACAAAAGGCACTCCAGCATCCTTCACCAGTAAATTAAATTCATTTCGTGGCCGCTTTCTTTTCCTTTTACATGATCGAGGGAAGCACATGGCTGAGTTTTCACCTCCGTTGTTCATTTCCATCTAATTATTCATTAACACGAGGCACCCACCCTTGCTGCATAGCAGAGACTGACAGGGAAAGCGGCACCAGCTGGGCAAGAGATGGAGACGGGCAGGATGCAAAAAACTGCTCCGACACGGGCTTCTTTGATGTCTGCGTGGCTCTGCCAGGAGGGAGGCAGAGAGGAATCCCTGCGGGGGCACAGAGGGCATGAGCAGGGCCCTCAGGCAGCAGCGTGCCGCAGAGCAGTGTGTCTGTGTGTGTGGTTTAACCCGACCAAGAAGCAGCTCTAAGGAGAATGCCAACACCCGGGCGTGCCAGCACAGCCCTGGGCGGCTGCCTGAGCTCTGGTTTTGCCCGTGGGGAGCTCTGCTCAGGCCCAAGCCCACGCTGCTCCCCTCAGCCTGAACTCCCACGGCTGCAGCTTGTTGCGGTGCTGCCCAAAACGAGAATCAAGAGCTGAGTCTTGCCGTTCCCACATCAGTGGTGGAATATCCCACGGCTGGGATAAATATAATAGCCAGCAATAAACAATTTGTTTTTAGACGCGCTGCGTGCTGGGGAATTTATTTTTTAACTTAACGGTCTGTCTCGCACAGCTTTAAACCAAAAACCCCTTTTCAGAACACAGGCACACACACAGCGATTATTTTGTGCAATCGGCTGACGCTTCGCAGACCCAAAGGGGCACAGTTTGTTGCCAACCCCTGCTTGCTGCACAGCCTAATGGCCTGGAAACAGCAGGACCCAGAGGAACCTGGCCCCAGGCTCACCCCAGGCACCCCAAGTGCAGGGCTCCTGCTGCCAGGACACAAGTGCCAGCCCTGCTGGGAGTGGCCCTGCCCTCAGCACAGGGGAGAGCAAAATGAAGAGCCCCCTCCTGCCCTGCAGAGCACCAGCAGCACGGGGCTCGCTGCTCGTACAGGCAGGAGAGGAACTCCCACGTGTCCTGCTCAGGGAAGCACGGCACAGCCCCGATGTTCGGGCAGCACACCGCTCCACAAGCAGGAGCCTTAAAAAAGGTGACTTTGCAGGCAGTCTCCGTGGATATACGACCTGTGTGTACGGAAGAGGATGAGAAGCTGAGCCAGGAGCCAGCCTGCGATGGGATTGATGAAGGATGAAGCTCACACTGCTCGGCCTGCGCCGTGCTCTGCCTGGCGGCTGGGCCAGCGCCAGGCCCTGACCCCCCTGTGCCACCTGATTTCAGTGTTTTCTTTTCCAGCTATTTTTATTTCAGCCGTTTAACCTTGTGCAGAGTTGGGAACCGCTGCGCTCTTGTCAGTCGCCTCACATGTAACACGAGTGCACAAGGGAAAATTCCCAGCAGAAAGGGCCCAGAACTGACCGCATGGTGCGTTGGTCCCTTGAAGCAGCTGCCTGAATAGTGTCCTGCTGGGCCATTTAAAAGGAAAACCACCAGAAAATGTAAAACCTGGAGCACGCTGCCTGCACAGATGGGGTTGGGCAGGAGGGCAGGTTGGGGGCAAGGCAGCAGTGCTCCAGCACGGCCTCGAGCCAACGGTTTCTTGAATGTACAGGGAAATAAAAGAAATGAGAAACAAGAGATATAGAAGGAGCTGGAGGGGCCTGGTGAACAGAAATGTTAGCCAGGGGGTGTTTGGTGCCCCCACATGAGGGGGGTTGGGCTCATGGCCGTGAGACGAGGCAGCAAGGAGTGCAGGGCAGGCTCCTGCCTCCCACTGGGCAGGAGCAGCGAGGTTACAGCACCAGGATCCTGTAACGCCGCCTTCGTGTGCCCTGGGGATGAGCCACCAGCTGCAACCCAAAGCCATAAAAATAAATTCATTCCCCGCTGCTTACCTACCAGGTAAGCAAAGATCAATCAGGCAGCAGACATCCCTGTGTCATCCGCACCGGGGCCGCGAGGAGACCTCACAACATCCACGCAGGATGAAAATCCTTCATCAAGGATGTTGCGGCAGGCCGAGCTAATTGTGCTCATTAGCGCTCCTTCACCCACTGCTCCTTTAGAGGTCATTCAAGTGTTGAAATCGTTTACAATTGCTCTTAGCAAAAGCCACACGGATTAGAGAAAATGTTACTGCAATTTCCAAAACAGCACCCAGTTCTGCCCCACCACCAGGATGACACAGCCTGCCACCCTCACAGCACCCTTCAAAACCAAACCTGCATTTTTAAGGTGCCCGACTGCCTTCCTCCAAAGTTCTTGCACGGTGGCTGGGGCCGAGCAGAGCACCCAGCACGCAGACGTTTGTCCTTGAGTCCCCTTGGCGCTGGTGTTTCCTCCGAGCGAGTGGTGCCGGCCTCTTCCAGTGGTTAAATAAATCGTTCTGCAAACATCTGCGCTGTAAAGCACAGGCCTGAAAATAACCTTTCTGAAAAACGCGAAGTCTCAGAGTTTCTTAATCATCTCAGCATCACATTTTTTCCCTACGATTAGAAGAATGACGTATTTTAAAACAGATGAAAAGAAACCCCGTGCTTACAGACCTACAGAAATCACGTTCAGCCTCTACGATCACAGCTCAGCTCCCACCCTGAGACGATCCCTACCTGCCTGTGCGACACCACTTCAAGATTTGGTGTTTGAAACAGAGAACTGCCTTGTGCTCCCGTTCAGCCCTGTCCTGTTCTCTCCATTAAGCCATAATTCGCTACCAGCACCCGGTGCTGCTCACCCCAACCACACCAGGCTCAGCTACAGCGCTCTGGGATGTGCCCACAGGCTGAGAGACTCAGATGCTGAGTCTCTCCATCACAGCACGATGAATCTCTCGTCCTTGTGAACAATCACCCGAACGCAGGAGGAATGAATCTCCAGTTCCATTCTGAAGTCCATTTCTTGGCATTGCTCTGATATTTAGTTTCACCTCGGCACCACGCCCAGCGGTTGAATACATCAGAAGTAGAAATACCCACCAAGGGGATGCAAGGAGCCTTCCAACCCCCGAGTCCTGGCGTCAGCAGCAGCAAAAATTATTAATGTGAATCTGGAGTGCTCAGGACGAAGCTGTGAGGTTTTCACCTGGCAAGACGAAGGCATTGCCTGGAGAGGACAGCACTGAACTGTTCCAAGGAAGAGCAGGATCAAACATTTTAAACAAACCAAAGCTACATGGCTTTACGGCAGGATTTGGGCACAGCCTGCTTAGCTAAAATTTGTCTCTAATTCCATCACATCGTCTGGAGCCACTACCAGGGCTTCCCAAAGGTTCACGCAGGAAGGTGACTGAGTTTCGGGTCTGACTTTTATCAGTAACACCAACTGCAACAAAGGCCTGGGGCTGCCCTGGGGAATTCACGCCACGCACGTCCTTCAGGTGCCAGCCTGTCCGCTGAATGTCGGCTCCCAGGTCATTCAGAAGCCGTCCCCCTGGTAGCTGCCACAAAATATCTCATGAAGACTCGTGCAGAGATGGGATGAGGAAAGTGGTGATCGTCAGGCTCTCAGGGGTAACAATTCTTACTGGGATCCTCTGCCTCTGCCAGTGCTGGGCTCAGGCAGGGATTTAAGCTCTGGGGAGTCACTGCTGCTGAAATTGTGCTCTGCTATGTCCCCACAGACCAGCCCCGTCCGTCAAGGAGTATCCGAACACGTACCAAAAGCAGGCTCCCAGAATTTTAAGACTTTTTTTTTTTAATAACGTGGCTGCAGCAAACCCAACAGATTTCTTCCTGCATTTGTAACGTACACGAGCTATCGTGTGATAAATACCATGGGGGCAAAGATAACTTGACTGCGATGTGGCACGACGATGGCTTTACCTGATCAAACTTCTTGCATTGGAAAAAATGATGTTTCCCCAGCAAGGTGTTCATTCTCCCAAATTACAGCATGTATTCCCAGAGCTCCCACACTAACCTTGACATTTGTGTGAGAGAAATGGATTCGCCAGCCTACTGGGGTGAAGTTGAACCTTGGATATTTTTGCTTTTCTGTTCACCTGCCAGAAGCAGCCAAAGCTCCTGGGCCGGGACCTGGGCAGACCGGTGTCAGGCTGCGTCTTCTTGCAGGTCCTGAAGCCAGAAGGAATCCTGAGTCTTGGATTTACACTCAGGGCCACTTGTTCCAGAGCCCAGGAGGCACAGAAACCCAGCCTGGGCTTCTGCAAGGCACGGGAACAGAGGCTGAGCAGGAGAATCGATTGAATTCATCATCCACCCATCGTGTGCTAACTCCTGCAGGGCCACAGGGTGGCAAACACCTCATGTGCTGGGCACGTTGGGTGCAGGCGGAGCACAGAGCACAGACCCCACCTCATTCAGACGCGCTGCAGCACGCCGTAGTGCTAATGGGCGCGTTTTAGCTCAGCAGAAAATAAATTCTGTTGCTAAGACGGGAGCATTCGGGCACTTTGGGACGTGAGCTGCTAGCGTAAAACCACTCCTTACGGAAACAAACTGCTGACACGAGCAGTTTCACTCATTCAGTGGCACTGAAAGATGGGCTGGAGGAGGAAAAGGTGAGCAAAGGGCTGAAAATGGAGCCATCCACGACAAGGACAGCGGGGACAGCTGCTTGTGCTCCTGTCTGCCGAGCTGGATTCCCTGGCTCCCTTTGGACACGAGCGCTTCGTGGTGAGGCAAAATGAAATTTGTCTTTTTTTTTTTTGTTACCCGGGGAGAGCAGCCACCCGTCACAGCACAAACTATCAGCAGATCGCCCAGCAGGCTGGAGCCAACTGGCACGCAAGAGCTCAATGCCAAAATACCTTCAAGTATCCCAAAATTTCATTTGTACAGCAGTTGCTGACCACCCCAGAGAGGGGAGATGCCGTAGGTAGGCGGAACAGGATTTACATCCAACAGCGCTTCAGAGGGAGGAAAATATCCTTGCCCAAAATTACCCCAGCCGTAGCAAGCCAAGAGCAGGCACTTTTTAAACGAAGGGATTTAGAGATTAGGAGAGGATTTGTACCCATCTGTCACGCTGGGCCTGCTTTCATCTTACCAAGCTTTCTTAGTCAAACTTCACTAAAAATCTTGTCAACATTTGACTATTTTTAGATGAACTCCCTGCGTTTGGTAGCTCTGGGACCCCGAGCTCCTGACAGGGAAGATTTACAGGAAGGCGTTACGGCGTCCAGCCCTCCGAAGCTGCACATTGTTATTAACATCACACGCCGTGCTCTAACGGCTCAATTAACAGGCACAATTGTACCAGAAGCCCAGGCTGGTTTAGCACAGCTCTGTTTTCACCTGGGAAATGGATGCAGAGGAATCCTACATGCAGAAGAGATGTTTGTGACCTCTGAAATGATGGAGCGAGGACAAGGAACAGGAGAAATTAGTTCAGACCCATTTGAGAAGTGCTTTTCCCTCGAGCACACCACTGACTACAGCATCTAAGTACAACACCCAGCAGCGTGCCTCCGAGCAATCAGCCAGCTCAAATTGAGGATTTTAATTTACAACAAGGCGCACTCGCTGTTTGGGATGCGTGTGTACACCGAGACCTTTCTAAACTCAGTATTTACGTAGCTCCTAATTTCTACATCGTTGTTTTATTGTGAGATATAAATCCCCAGTGTGTGTTTGGAGCAGCTTACTCTTTATTTGCTCTGCACAAACATGCAGCTTTCCATACAGAAAAATGCTTTCTCCTTATCCTGACAGGAGCTGGTAATTTTCTCCCCTGTACCCTTCCCTTCCTAACAAACTCCTATCAATCAAACTGACTACAGAAATAAAGGGACTGAACCAGCGTGACCAAGAAAGATCTGCAGGAGCCACCGGGCTGATAAATTCGCTGTTCAAAATATAAACAGAAGCGACGGAAAGCAACAACTTCCAAAGCTTGTTTTTTATGCATCATTAAAAGCAGGAGGTACCTGATGAAAAAGACAACCCATGCCCATCTGTTAACTGTGTTGTCCTTCAAGAACTCACACGACTCCGAGCTCCTTCAGCACAGGAGCACATGAGTGGGCTGCAAATGGCACCGCGAGCTGCCTGAGAGCTCCTGAGATCAAAGGAGTTCAAGAGAATCAGGCTTATTTACTGGGGGAGAGCGCAAACTGGTTGATAAAGGACGAGAGCACTGTAATTACTTCAAGTTCCTAAAGCTCACAGTCCTCTAAGTACCCAGAGCACGCAGTCGGCAAATGGCATTTTAAGTTGCTCGAGCGTTTGAGATCAAAGTAGCTTAAGAGAACGATATCGATAGTGCGGGGGAGGCTGAGCAGGAGGCTGAACACAGCTGGGAAGTGGTTCCAGCATTTTAAGCAGTTCAGGCCACTACAGCCTAAGTCCAGAGTAACAGGAGAAAATGCCACAGGCTTGCTGCTGCTTGGCTCTCCAGAGCTGGGCTAGGGGAGATGAACTCAGGGGATGGGGATTTTAGCAGTGCCATCTAGCAAGGGCCAAACACAACAGTGATCCACCTGGAGGGGTATCTGGCAAACGTGAGCTAAAAGGGATGAAAAACCTGGTTATGAGTTTTAGGCTTCTGGCTAAAACAGCTGGAAGAAAAACCTTGAGTTATGCTCAGAACGGTTCCCAAAGGGCACTGTGGTGCCAGCTACGGCCAAAGGGGAAACAGAACAAGAAAGTACCAGGGACTAAGAAAATCCACTCTCTACCATGAATATTAATTGAGCAGTAACACTTCTAACTGTACTTTTTGTAGTAAAAAAAAAACAACACTTTTTTTCCTAGTAGAAAGTGTTAGCTGCACCTAAGAAAGCCACCATATACCTAGACTGTCAAGGCAGAAATATCAGAAGCAAAGAACCCCGTAACTGCACTACTAAAATGCCTCTGACACTCTACCAGTTGTCTATTTTTGACTACCCACACCCATCACGTCACAGTCAAAAATCAGTTTCCGTGACTCCCCAGTACACTCTTGGCTAGGCAAGTCCAAAACTAAGTCGTGAAGAACCCAGTGACTGTGCAGGACGTGCATTTAACAAGAACATTGTAACAGGCTGCAAAATCCTTCCAAACTGCATTGTGTGACTCGGTCACACAGCTCGCAGAGACAATGTGAAACACATGGCTCCACCACCTGACATCTGTACGTTACAAAGAACCAGAGTGTTGGTACGATAACTTCCTTTCAGCTATTTAGGATGCAAATCACCAAAGTGGATTTTTTTCTCCTAAATTAACCTGATTTTAGGAGAAAAATGTTTCACTGAAGCACCTCAAACCTTTAAGGACAGAGTTCAATTTGCCAACACGAGCCCTAGTAGTCTGAAGAACATCTGGAAGTGGGCAACTTGTTTTCAGTAAAACCTCACTTAGGAAGAAATAAAACCATACCTGCTTCATCATAGGATACGGTCAGTTTTTCCAGCATTTCTCGATCAATTGATAAAATTTGCTGTTCCAGGATGGTCTGGTAAGACAGCACGCTGTTCTCCTTGTCCTTCTCATAGTCTTGCAGGTGTTGCTTTAGGACTTCAGGCAGCCGGGACTTCACGTATTCAGCTGCTGACTGTAGAAAAGAAGCAAAGGTTTAACCAGGACCTTTTCTTTTTGAAAAGTTTTGTGTATATCCAGAGCAATTTTTTTTATTATTATTTATTTTACAGCATTTTCAAATGTGACTCCTCACAATAAATACTCCCAGTACTACCAACTCCAGTATCAGATGATCAAAAGGAGTCTCTTCAGCTGCTATGGATACATAACCGGGTTAGGACAGGAAGCCCCAAATAAATCTTTAATAGCACTAAAACCCAACGTACAAATATACACGCAAAGATAGAAAATTATTCCTTTTTTTTTTTTCTGTGACTGCTCAAAGCCGTAAGAAAACAGAAATTAACACAAGGTGGCATGGTTGTACCAACGTTAGGGAGTCTCACGCAGAAAATGCAGAGGGCAGTGAGCACCAAGGGCTCCTGCCCCTGGGCAGTGGCTCCTTGCCTGCCTTTCCAGCAGCGATACAAACCCAGCTGGACAGGAGGGATGCAGCGAAGGCTGCTGCCCCGTGCTCTGCCCTTCCTGCCAACTCCCAGGCAGGAGAGAAAAATGAATGGTGAAAAGGTTAGATTAATCCAGGGAGCGGCCACAAGTTGCCCTGCTCAGCAGCACGTTCTCCTGGGCTTATATTTAGTTTTCCAAAGTCAATTGCTGATTAAATTTCAACCTTAAAATATCACTGAAGTTGTGGTCAATTTATCTGCAGGCTAAGCCACGGGAGACGAATGAAATTATTGTAGGGAAAGCAGAGGAGCTCTCCCCAGGAGCACCACACAGCCCCCGTTACAGTTCCATCAGTTTCCTTTCCAGGGAAGGCCCAAAGAGGTGCCGGGTGCAGGCCTGGATATTTCGTGTTCCTCCAAGAAGAGGTTTTGCTCTGCACAGGGGCATTTGGGGCTCTCCCACTGCCTTTCCACAAAGTCATTTTCAGGATTAAATCACAATTTTGGGAGAATGTACCAAAAACATGGTCTTGTTCACGCAGGGGGCTCTGCGCTCTGTGCCCGCAGCAGCTGGGGCAGCTCATGCTTAATAAAAGCCACGTGAAACAGAGTAAAATTTCCCTGGTACTTTTATAAAACTGCAGGTCTGTTTTCCCCCTGAAGCTCCCTTCTCCAGCTGAACAGAAGGCTGACTTTAATAGCTCCATTGATTTTAAGGCATTTCATTCGGCCACAGAAAGCTACTGCTTTATGTTGTGTACCTGCGAGGTAATACACTTGCAGAGCTGATTCACCAAAAATCACATTTTTCTCGAGTTACGGGGAAAAAAAAGCCTGCACAAAACAAAAACCACATCAGGAGATGCTAAAACCCCTCCCTGTGCAGGAACCCAAGCCTCACAAGCCCCCACATCCTCATGTAACTGCCCCACTTGCCCGCGTTTCTCAGCACTCACTGCCTTACCTTGCTGCATGCAACTGGCGGTTTATACCAAAGGCAAAGAACTGAATCTCACGACAGCACAGGGGAAGAACGCGTTAGGAAGTATTTATCAAGATCAGGTAGTTTCCAGCTGGATGGGCCAGACGGCATTAATTCAGCTACAGGTGGCTGGCTGGAACAAGTCCCTTACCAAGCTCTATCTTCAAAATGCAGAAGATGGTAAGATGCTGTTTGGAAAGGGTAAGTGTAGGGGCTCCTTTTAAAATAGCATAAAGGAGGAGAAACAGAATTACAGAGCAGTTTGTTTGTGCCTAAATAACGGAACAAAAGATCAATTGATTTCTAGGGATGAGAGAGCAGCAAGATTTGGAAGCCACAGAGAGCGAGGTGCTTCTCTCGGGGTTTATGGAGATGTTCATGTGGTTCGTAGCAGCTCTGTCCTGGGGAGCAAACCTTCCTTTGTCACTGCAGGCAGCACGCCCGTGCTCAAAAGCCCCAGCACTGCTGATACATCGTCAGCCCCAACACTGCTTTGGGAATCCAGAGCCTTTCATGTAAACGGGGATGCAGAATCCCATGCAGATTGAACATTTCAGAGATGTCCACGACCACCACACATCGCCAGCATCCCTTCTGACCCGCCAGGTGAGCTGGGAGCTGCCAGGGAAGCCCCAGCTGCTGTGCCACTGCCACTGCCTCTTGTTTGCTCCTCTCCAAGCTCCATCGTTTTATGGTCATGGAAACAATTTCCAACAGAGGAATGTGAAATATGTACTGAGCCCCCTTGGGATTCCACATTCCGTTGTACTCTTACACACATGCTTCTGGACTTACATCAACCACCCCAAACCCGACCCAACCCCACACTCACTTCTCACAGAAGCGTGCCCTTACCTTACACCTCACCCCGCCTCCAGGCCGGCTTCATGGGCAGATTCCTGCTTTAAGCAGAGCCCGGCACCTTCACTCCCACTTCACCTTCTTTCCACACCGAGCAACCCAGCCACAAAGCTTCAGGGGGTGTTGGTGACACCTCGGTCCCCTGCTGGGCATTTAGGACAGGAAAGCAGCAGTCAGGGGATATTTTTTGCAATCCCGTTGATGGGAGCTGCACTCACACAGGCAAACCACCTCCTCACCCTGTTCGTGAGGAGGGGTTGGTGGGGGCTGAAGGAGATCCAAAAATTCTGCCCCTGGACCCAGGTGTGCCCCTTACCGGAGTGGAGGGCAACGCAGGGGCACAAGGTCCCAATCTGGCATCTCACGGGGCTGATGCTCTCCTCCATCAGCACGAGCCACAAATAACTCCTCTGAAGTCAGGGGAATTTTGCTAAGGCAAACCCCTTGGAAAAAGGACACGAAGCTATTAATAGCCATTGAAAAGGAAAACATGAGAGCAAAACATAATCTACTCTCGAGAGGATAATGCAGGATCTACCAGTGGTGCTAGGACGAACATTTTGCCCTCTAAAGCCAGGAGCTATTTAAAGAACAAACAGGTCGAAAGAGACTCCGGAATAACATTTTCCCATAACCTAACTTTTGGTACAAGCAGCCTACCGGTTCTCTTTCAAAGTGTCTTTCCCTCCGAAGGAACTATCCAAGCAAATAATTTGCTATTGATCAGCCTGGATCCCAGGAAAGCCGTGCTCACAATGTGAAGCAAAAGCACGCCTTCAGAAGCGTTGCAGGACTCAGGAATTGCTCCCAGGAGGCTCAACGAGACCCAACACGACACCCACCACTATCATTTTGCAATCCACGCACCGCATACTGCCATAGCAGGAAAAACATTAGCCTCACAAACATCTTTAGCTCATCAGCAGCTCCAGCATCACGAGAAAATTAACCTGATTCCGAGGAGATGCATAAAGTTCAAATTAGTATTCGCCCCGGATTGCCAGAGAGAGATGAAATCCATAATTACAGTAATCCACAGCTGCTTCCACTGTAGAAAATAACAAATTGCCCAGTGAGAACCGGTGTCCGTGAAACGGAAAGAAAAGGCCATCTGTTGTGGAGCTTCGCCCTGACTTCATGCCTCCAGCACGGAGAGCTCCATCCCCTCGGACAGGATTTATGGCTACGAGCAACGCAAACAGCACCAAGCAAAGAGTGACAATAAAAATGAGGAGTGATGATGATTTACGGCTTTAAATTATGCATTTGAGCTTCTTCCCTGAGACAGCGCTTGTCACTCACTTCTTAAATAGATGTATTTAAACGTCCTCGACCGAGCAGCAAGGAAGGCAACACGCTGTGTAATGCAGAAATCAGCCTCCTGCTCCGCCGCCCACCGCCCCTGCTAGGCACGGGGAGGCACACGCGGTGCTGGCATGGGGCTCCTCCATCCAGGACCTGGATCAGAAGAGGTGAGGATAAATGCAAAAGAATCATTTTCCATCTTCCGATGGGAGAAGGGACAGCAAAATCCGTGCTCATGTTTTTTTTTAAGAAAGAATTTTAATTAATTCGAATTAGCAAGAAGCACTCTGTGCTATAGGCAAGCAGTCACTCTGCAGCTAAGGACCAGGACTCGGGGCAGGGAGGGGTTTGTTGGAGATGACACCGTTGTTGGCAGAGCCACGAGGAGGGCTTCCGAATCGGGCCGTCTAATTCAAAGATTAATTTTATCAAAGCAAGGAGAACATTACAATTATCTCGTCTGACATCTCAAATCAGGAGGAGCACAGGACTGCTCTGTCTCATTGCTTGAAGAAGTCATTTAGAGAAATATCCACCTCTATTTGGGAGGCAGAGGATCTTCCACTGCCCTTGAAGTTAATTACCCTTCTTGTTAGTGGGCGATTTCACACAGCGCAGAAACCTTCACATAATTTCCAGTCTGAATCTGCCATTATCTACGACTTCCAGCCACTGAATCGAGTGAAATGTCTGCTCACCTGCATTGCTCTTTCTCATGCAAATGCATGCAAATTGATCCCGTCACCCCATTATCCTCCCATTGATAAACCAAATAAATGGAGCTCCTGAAGGCAAGTTGTTTTACGTCAAGTTAGCATGAGCATTTTCTGATCTCGTGGTTGATCCTTCAGTGGATGTGCTGCCACTTAGAGAGGGTGAAAATGTTCCCAGGTAACCCATCAGGATGACACGCTGCCAGAAGAAATCCAAGCAAGAGAGGATTAATTTTATTTGGTTGGCATCAAAACTAGAAGATTTATTCCGGTTCTTTAAACAACTGCATCCATGCACCAAAAAGCAATGTTTAGTAAATATATTAAGAGCAATAAGAGGAGCTGTTACCCTGATAAAAGGAAATGCATTCGGACCGAAACTGCATATGAGCAGACACAAATTCTGAATCCTAATTGTGCTAGGAAGGCAATTATTATTCATGTCCTTTTTAGGAGAAAAATTAAAATGAGAAGGGAAATTAAACTGGAAATTAGCCCCAGACAAAGCTGTGATTTTAATGCTCCTGCTAGGCTTAACAAAGAAGCTGAAGCTTATTGTGAAGGGCTTGCGTTTTGCTAACCCTGGAAGATGCACACTGAGAGACACAAGGGACAAACAATTACAACTTCCACGTCCACTTGGCCATATCTGAAGGGCATTACCAGTTGGCGTATCAATAACATTCTGCACTTGCCAAAAGGCGTG